TTTTTGGTCAATATTTCATATTCTAATAATATCGATGAAGAATCAATTATAATCAAGGGCGTGATTAGGAATGTCTTATGGGGGTGGGGGGGGTACAAACAAAAAGTTCAAAGTATACATAGTTATAACTTTTCCATCTCAAAAAACTGTCGTTATTCATAACCAAATAATCAAAATACAAGTGTTTGATAGAAACATAAAATTTTATTACACAAATTTAAAATAAAATATATTTTTAAATATAATTTTTGTAATTAAAATAACTGAAGACGTCTGGAGTGTTTATTAGCATATGCATCAACTACTTCTTCAGGTTTTATAATTATTTCAGGATGTATATTAAGGTGTATTCAGGGTGTATACTTCCTTGGAAAAATAAGAAATTAAGTTTAAAAATACCAAAAATATTTTCCCGACATGAAAATACAAAATAAAATGACATATCAAGAAATAATAATTACTTATTAATAATACACGAATTATGATTATGAACACAAAATCTATATGTATAAAAGAAAGTCAGGTTATTTACAGAATTTATAATTCAAGAACGGCTGGACCGATTTCAATGATCTCTGATTTGTTGGATTCATCTCCGTACAAGAATAAAAATAACTCTAATCTTGGCAAGAATACAGACAATTATCTAGATAAGTAAAAATTTTATCTTAGATAAGTAATTAGATAACTTAGCGTTATTTATCTAGATAAGATAAAAGATGACAACAAATCTATCTAGATAATTTATCTTGATAAATTTATCTAGATAAGTCCCAACACTGTCTGCGAATATTTTTCTTTGAATTTCTAGAGATACCTATATGAGCTATACATTTGTTTCAGAAAACGTAGAAGGTAAATACTAAATTTTATGTTCCATATATTTGTATGTTTTGAAGCTTCGGACCTACATTTTTTTATTTTATTATTATTATTATTATTTTATTTATTTGTGTGTTCCCTGGCATTTTTTCTTCATAAAAAAATTAATAATTTTACCTCTAATATCATGGAACTGTGGATATCGAGGATAGATTTGCAGCTAATATAATCGTTGGTATTCTTGAAGCCGATTATCCGAGTAAGCAATATTTGGTATATTTTCAGTGCATATTTAAGTGCTTTTGTGTATGTTTATAAGATTGTATTGCGCTTATTACAACCTTTTTTAGAGCTACAAGTTATGAGCCCTTATATTTAAATCGATGAATATAGGTAATCAATAAATATACTTTTTACTTGTTATTATTCTCCACACGTAACATATAATATGTTATTTTTATACAAGAAATGGAGTGTTGGAGATTAGCTCCCACGGCTCACTTCTTAATAGATTTTCATATAAGCCCTCCTCCCATTAAAAAATTCTGAGTAAACCTCTGACCATTAAGGAATTTGAAAATACTATTATCGTATACCAATGAGGTCGTAACACGTTGTCGTAATGAATATAACAATACATGTTTTCTCGTGACAATTCAGTCGATATCCTCCGGTGGTAAAACACGGACGCTGTCATTTTTTAACAACCCTTTGTGCTCACATTGTGAGTTGGGAGTAGCATCCCTCTCGGCCAACCCTATTTAACACGACCCAGATCGTGATAATATTAAATAAAAACGTGATATGAGACCGTAGTTTTCACACGACCAGTTTTAAAATTATCTGGATAATGAGTTCTTATATTTAATCTTATCTAGGTAGATTTTGCTCTATTGTTTTTCTAAGATAAAAAAAAAAAATATCTAGATAAACTTATCTATAGATAGATTTAATCTTAAATGCAAACGGTTTTATATCCTTCAATAATTTTGAATTATTATTAAATAGTTAAAATCAATTAAACTATTCTGGGAACAGCGGATTTATATATTTATAAAATTTATTTGATTAGTGTACCACATATATTTATAAATAATTGAAGATTTTTAGACCTCTTTTTCAATGTCAAGATTTCTCGTCACATTTCAATAAATTAATTATATTAAAATATTTTATATTTGTTAAAGATTAAATTAAAAGTTTTGGAGAAAAAGTCTTCTAGTTTTTTAGAGAAAAGTATTTTAAATAAGCAATTGAATTTGGTTTTTGTTTCTATTTTAATAAAATAAAAAAATTCAATAAAAACCGACTGGCCACCGATCGGCATTATGTACTGTATTTGCATTGCATATAAAATCATAACGAAAAAATCGTCAACGCTCTACCTAACTATAATACAAGACACATTTATTTTTCACTTAATTGTTCAAATAAATTACAAGTTAAGATAAGATTATCTTTTATATACTCTGGCGGTCCGACGCATAATTATTGTGACACTATAGCTTACAGAATGCTAACGAAAATTGTTATTTAATTTGTTTGAACTGTTGGGATGAAGTTGATGTTTCGTGTTTGTATACGGAAAATTACACATTAGCCAAATGTTAACATTGTCCGTAACACATATTAGGCGCGGTCGGAAAAACAAACCCTGAGCGGTCATCAGCAGACGGAAGGGGCGAAAAGTGAAAAAACTGTTTGTTTTCGGCCAACACTCGGTATCTGCGAGTTGCAGGAGCAGAAAAGGAATCGAACGAAACGCGTACGTCTTGCAGTCCGCTAAGTTCGTCCGTCCGTACGGCGGTCTGTCGTTTGTTTGCAATTTAATAGCGGGTGAACTCAGGTAAAACGCGATACTGTCCGGTGTCTATTCCCAATGCCCTTTAATAACGAATTCGGCCGATCCCAACGGACAAGTCTGTTTTATTCTGGCCGAGGATTTCTCTGCACAGGTGTACATACATGTACTATGATGCCGTACGTGTGCGCATATATTACCGTCGAGGTAAATTGTTTCCGAATGATTCCTCCGGTTGGGTGAAATGTCCGGACAAATATATATATATCCCTCGTCTCCGGCAGTAAATATATCGTTAAACATTCATTGGACGCGAGAACAACGAATATATTTTTTATTCGTGGTACGAGTGTACTCCGCGGGATACGCGGATTCATCGGTGAGCAATAGGCGACTAATCGGAAAATTACGCGAAGCTAAACAATACATCAAAACACCGTTGAAGAACCGCTTTTATAATGACCGACCGGATGATCGCGATCACAAGTCTTAAACGTGGATGCTTGATTATATTTGAAAAATGGTGTAGGTACAATAATCCGCGTACAATTCGCTATGAAAAATTATTAAGTATTTTACGTAACGGAAAACAAAATACATCCATCGGATTTGAAAACATTGGCGCTGTAATTATTGATTTCCGCTACGAGGATTCATTTTAAACGTATTGAAAAGAGAAAAATTAAATCCGTTGGAGAAATTTCAATCATAAAATGTTTCATGCCGCTTTTTCGTTAATGAATTAGTATGGTATACAAATTAATGCAGTCAGAAAAGGCTGTTAAATCTTTCGAATACCATTAGGTAAATTATTATCGTTAAAACTTATTATTGTAAGTCAACGTTATTTATACGCATACGGATATATTTAGTTCAGAATTATTTTATCGCGTATATATACATCATGTAATGAAAGTATTGAATGATATTACGAATATATTTGACAAACTATTTCGAAATGTACTCTTCATCTTATTATAAACTATGTAACTGCAAAACGATTTTAGCATATTAACAATGGAACTATTATTTTTATCATTTGTTTTTGTTTATTGAAATAATATTTATTCACTTAAACTTATTAAATCGTATCGACAATCTAATTGTAAACAAAATGCCTATAATACTTTATTACGATATTAATTAAACTAAGAAGTAATTCATCGAAATATTTTCTCAGCGTCAGTACAATTAATGTTACTTGTAATTTTATTCATTTTTATAAATATTTATACTAACTGTATTATTATTCCAAAAGAAAATTTAAATTTATAATAAAAAACCTTTTATTGAATTGAATACAACAAGTTCGATAAAATGTGTTTACATTTTTAATAAAAACAAAAAACGAAAAAATATCGAATTCTAGAAATAATTATCTCGTATCAAGGTTTTTTTTCTTTCTGTGCAAATATACAAATAGCTTTTAAATTTCTGAGAATAATTTGACTAACACATTTATTACCTGTTAAAATATTCTAAAAGCTTTGGTATTCGGAATCGGATTCAGAGTAACATATTTCGGCACTCATTCGTGTACTTAGAAAATTAGAATAAATTCTGCGTGAAAAAAATCAACGAAAAAACACGTTTCTCGAGTAAAACATCCAAAGGAACTTAATAACATTGTCAGTAAAACGTTATACAAGACTGCAGCATAAACTTACCCGATAAACGTATTGTGTGAACGACCATGACAAAATGTTTGTTTTACATTTTCGCGTGCGTAAGTGCAAGGTGGTCCGAACGAATTTCTGGAAGCGATGATGAAAGCGGTGCACATAGGCCGTCGGGTTTTAGAGATTTTATCGAGTTCGAAAAAACCTGGATTGAGATCATTGCGGCACGCAACGGTGTCCGGACAATGATAAACGCGCAAGTGAGCAAACACACGCGTTGCACGCACAACGTTGGTCGATCATCATTTCATCGATCATATTTTGTTTCCGGCGGTCAGATTCAACGGACATATGTGTCACGGTCGTACAGGTAGAAAAGTATTTTGTATTCCTGGCACCCAAGCACGCCCACAGGATGAAATCCCACCCGGGACAAGATTAAAATTTTAAGGACCAAAACAACGTATATCTAAAAATATATGAGAACAAAATCAAATACCATAGAAATCGGTACTTGTTTATAGTTGTAAGCGATAGAGGTGTGAACATTGTAAACCAATAAATACGTTAAAATTAAACATTTTAGATTACCTATCTAAAAATATAATAAATTTCACTAAAATTCATAAATGGATCTCAATAAAATTATGTTATAATTAATATGCGTGGTATTAAATTAACAATAGTTTTGAAATAAAAATCCCCAGTAAGGGCAATGGCCCCTTCATCCCCCTGCAGACACGTATGCTTGTACTCACCCATCCACCCGGTACGATTCTATCGTTTTCGAAAATGTTCTTCGTACGTCGCCGAACCGCGGCGAAGAGTTTCAGAGACACAGTACGTAACGGGTCATGATGAAATTATCACACACACGTTCAGCGCACTGCGCAACCTTCTCGTGCGACTCGATTACATTCAATATCTGGCTAATTTTATGAATAATTAATATTGTTTTTTATCGGTTTTCAACTGATATATTATGTTCGCTAGGGCACTATTACTGTTATTTTAGTAGCATCCTAAAAATTATAATCAACACGTAGCATTGTTATCACAATAATTAACTATATTATAAATTGTCATGTCGTACGTTGATCCTAACGCTAATAGTTTTTTTTTTTTTTTTATATATAGGTATTAAATAACAATTAGTACACTTGACTATGTCAGAGAAACTATAAGATAACAATAATCACCTAGATAATAATTGAGTAAAAAAAAAAAAAAAAAAAAAAAAACAATGAGTGAAATGCTATTTGTTCACACGAAAATCATGTGCAATTACTGCGATGGGTTAAATCGTTTAAACAGACTCATTTGCTGCATCTCGGTAATTTTTTACATTTGATGAACAATTTTTTTTTTTATTTTTTTTTGTATTTTTTCATACATATCTGAAATTTATGGACCTTATTTACTACATGAGACCGCGGCTGTGAATATTCAAAACTGTAGTAAAAAAGGTATGATTACGCTTATAATGTACATCTCTTAGTAATGAGATAAGTCTCAGATTTCACTCTACCATGAATTCGGATTTCGGGTTTTGAAAAATTGGATTAGTATTCTTTTATGCATGGTTTATAATACATTTTTGATAACCATGCATATTTTATAATAAATTAATTTTTTAAATTAAGTACAGAATTACACATCTTTGAACTAGATATTAGGATACTGAAATCCATAAATTCAAAATTCGGATTTCAAAATCTGAAAAATCCGGATTTCGGATATTAAATTAAAAATTCAAATTTCTCGAATTTTTTATGAATTCGAATTTCATCACATCACTAGTATCTGTATAACATACAATGTATAAATATATATATTTTAATGATAACACATTTAGGTAAATGACAGTGTACAAATTCAAAACCAAGTGTGATACTAGCAATGCATTTTTTACCGTTTGCAAATCACAAAGTACTAATTCGACAAATCTAATTGGAAAAATTAAGACGTGACGGTTTATTAAAAATTTATAAATCTTAAACTTGTGTAAAGTTATAACAAACTGCGGGATTTAACGTCAACAAAACTCCGCCGAGGTCGAGGAAAATTGGATAACATTGTTTAATTATACATTTATTTTAAACTTGTACATTTTCTGTTCATTCATGGAAATGACAACTAATTTTTTAATTTATAAATATCCTAAAATTAAGGTTCCACATATCAAATGATAATGTATTCTATTTCATCTGTAACATTTCATCTTGTTTAAAAATATTGTTTTTTTTTAATTCAAGATATTTTCACCGCAATAAGATATTTTTCAAAGAACACCCTGTAGTCCTTGAAGATGTGAGTTGAAAATTGAAAAAAATTGCATGCAAATACATTCGTCGGAGTTTTATAGAAAATTGCACTTGTATTCTACCCTTACAGTTTACCGAAATCGGATATCTCTTGTTTAAGATTTAACAATTCGGGGATGACACATTTTTTGAGTACAAGTACTTGCGTATTATGTTACACTTCTTTTGAAACTATTGGTGTGCGAAGAATGCTTGCTTGCTATTTTTTCAGCCGTAAACAAAGTATAACATTTAACGATTTAAAATTAAAAACGAAAAAAAATGGTATACGGCTTATGGGTATAAAAATAAAATAGAATGCACAACATAAAACTAAAAAGAATTTAAAATACATGTTTCTTAATTTTTACATGGTTTTTCAATGACGATTGAAATTGAAAAAAAATAGTCGTTTAATAACTGTACGTATGCCATTTCTCTCTTATCCGATATGTTTTTCCATGAATTGACCACCTTATATTGCGTAACAGTTATAAGAATATAAATATTCAAATATACGTTTTTTGCTCATAATAACACCTTAAAAGTGTTCATGTTAATCATTTGTTCAGTGTTTACACTCGATAAGCATACACTACAACTTGTAATCTGTCGTCATTTGTATTGCGATCTATAATCCATCGTCGCTGGGACTTCTGAAACCGTAAAACGTGTCGCGTGAAATTTATTTTAAAAATGTGCACAAAACCGAATGTGACGATGAGATATAAAACGAAGTATTTCCGTTGTGCGAAACGAGTTGTACTGATAGGCTGTTCGGTTTTGCGAACCTTAATACGAATTGGACAACGCGAATCAGGTTCACGATCTGCGCATCTGTTTCGCGGGAAAGATCGATTCCTTTCCGTGCACTCGGGACCCTTCACGCGTGTACACCGAAATTAAACCAATTTGTTTACGGCAGTTAACGACATTGATTCATTTGGGCAAAATGATTTGTTCTTTTTTTTTTTTAACACACGTTTATTGGAAATAAATTATTGCAGTACAATTGGTGGCCAATAATATGATTTCCGTGTGGGCGGCCAGACGACAACGTAACATTCTACAGTTTATATATGGAGAAAGTGTTGGTGATGGATTGGGAACAATTGGGAAAAATTACTCCAAGTAGAATGTTTCATCCTTGGTCAGGATTTCCGATCCCATGACTGTTCATCTAAACGGAGGTCGGTGTAAGGAACGCTGAGCAGTAGCACTGCAATTAGTGTATGAACGTAATAGGCACGTGTAACAATAAGTAACACGGCTTAACCTAACCTATTTGTAATTGTTACATGATACACATACGGTTCATGCCATTACACCCGAACAAAGCGTTTTTGTTTCATATAACATTCTGATCGTAATGTTTGGCCAGCATGTTATATCACAATCACGATCTAATGTGCACGAGAGAGCATTCAAAATTTTTACAAAACCATAAAACTCCTGTGTACACTACGTTTTGTTCGGTCAAACAATATGATATTATTATTATATTAAAATATTTCATTTTTTTTTTTTTTAATTATATCATTTAATAATTTCCAGACAATTCAAATATACATTTGAAATATATTATATTAAAAAATATTAAACTGTAGTCAGAAAATCATATTATTAAATATTGATTTATATAGTTTTTGTATGTGGATGTTTTTCATGGATGATTTATGAACTTAATAATATTTGTTCGGAAAACATTTCTTTTTTTATTTTGTACAGATTATTTAATAATATAATTAACATTAATTAACAAACTAGGCATTGATATTGTTAAAAAAAAAAAAAAAACTTTTATTAAACACAAGTAGTACATTTTTATTCACATATAATATATTATTTGTCATAAATAAATTATATATCAAATAATATATAGAGAGCTTACTAAACCTAATACAATCGAATTTACAAACAAAATACATTTTTCAAAACCTTAAATCATTAGAGTAGAATTATAATTTTGATATGATAGGTAATTTTTTTTCTTTTTTTCACTGGTAGTAAATGTCGTTTTTTCCGTTTAAAAACACACTTTTATCAGTAACGAAAATAGGAACACGGTGACTGTGCAGCAATGACACTTGTTGGAAGATCCTGTAACTAAAATACCAAAATGTACGATTAGTCGACGCATACAATATTTTCAGTGCAAACTTGAATGTTCAACATAACGGTATTTTGATTATACGCCGAAACATTAAATTTCTATACATTATAAGAGTATAGGAAGGGGACACATTTCTTCAGCCGTTTTTTACCGAAATTAGTTTCTCTTTTTTTTTTTTCATAACTACGACGTGACTATAAATTAAAACTAATATTCGGTTTTTAGCTCGTGAAAAAGAGAAGAAAAAAATCGTGATAATCTAAAGTAACTGCATAAGAATTCGTTTAATGTTTTATGATCGTAGAATTGAATAACAATCTCCGTCGAGCATAAGCTCCAGACCGTAAGAAATAAATAATCCCGTTCATCCGCTGCAATAATTGTTTTTTTGCCTAGAAACCCGTAACACGATGACGATGCACCCGGTTGACTTTCTAACGTAACAATAATCTAATTGTTTTCAGCGCTGGTTGTTATTTATCGATGTTATTATTTTACGCGTATATGGTTATTATGATTTTCGAGAATAATTATAATCGCTATTGTTATTACCGAGCAGGAGTGCTTCTCTTTTATCCTGTCTGGGCAGCACTTTTTCGTTGTCACTGGTCCACAAGACGGGTGACAATACCGCTACGCACCTGACCCTCACCGCACCATTCACCACGGTCTCCGCGTCCAAAGGTAAATGCAACCCCAAAGTTGTCGTCACAAGCCCTCGAGGGTGTTTTTGCGCTGGGTACCTCTTCAATGATTCTTCTCTGGCCTGAAACACACCCACGCACTCGCTTACAATGGTGGACAGAAGAATAAAAATAATTAAAAAAATAAAAATAATTTATGTCCTACGTGCATGCGTATATAATAAAATATACATAAATGTGCGTGTATGTAATGCGAATGACAAGCAAGAACCGTTATACCTCGATGTAAAATATTTCATTTATAAAGTAAAAACATACTTGGCTATGTCTTTTCCCCTCGAATAGTTTTACATTCTAATAAGGAATTAATTGCTTCTTTACGCGGAAAAAACTACCGGTATTTCTTTAGAACTATTTAGCCTACAAAGGTACTAAGTTTCCGAGTTATCTTTTCATTGACTACAAAAATCGATATGTTCTTAAAGTGTTCTACGGTGTATTAAATTAAAAATCTTATTTTAATGTAAATGCGTGAAACTTTTTCTTCTTGATGACAAAAATAACTCTACATTTATATAATACTGCATGATACGATATTATTAAAAAAAATAATAATAATATAATGGAGACATTTTTTATAGGTATTATACTTTAACCATGTACTAGAAAATACAATTCAATTAATGTACCATGCGTCATAATGCTGAATGAATTTCATTCATAAATATTTTTATGAGAAATTTACAATAATATCAAATGAATGTACTTTATGTTTGTGCATAAAATGTGTCTTATTTCATATTTAACTGATACTTAAAACGTTATTAGCGCACGGATAAATTAAAATAAAAAAAAACAGTTCGGTGTTTTCGAAATGAAAAATGTTTAGTACACCGATGTACAGGTATATGAAATCAACTGTCGATGTCAATAAACCTCTTAGGTAAATTGAAATTACATAATAACCGACAAAAGGTTATTGGGCGTGTCAAAACAACGAAGATATATCCGGGTTCAATATGCCTAGGCACTTCAGAATCGTATTGAAATAAAAACGAGAGTTCGCCGGTTCGATATTTACGAAAAAATCGCAAATAATTTATTTAACGTCAATCCCGTAGCAAACTATTTGTGTACGTACCTTTAAGAATTGTAATATCGACTCGGTGTTCTATGTTTCTCATGCTTCAGCCGTTTTTAAAAACAATTGTTGTCGACATCATTGTGTTTTTTTTTTATTTTTTTATTATTATTCCGAGATGAATATAATATTATGTTATCACGGTGGTTGATGTCATTTCGAACATAGTATGTTCGTCAGTACTTGTTTTAATGTGTGAACGGCGTTAGTTTTAGCTGACGATGCTGTCTTAAATGTCATTACTTTTATTAAGAAAGAAGAAATAGCTGCGGCAATCGCATCGCGGAATGGTACCGTGGAAATCGGTGCCAAATGAAAATACGAATAAAAACGAATGTTTTGCTTTAAATTCCAATGGCCCACGTTACTCCTTCTCGTACTTATGTTAAGAGCGTTCTACGGACCATAACCATCATGTAAATATAACGTTATACGTTCGAAAGCAATTCCCCGCCAGAAATATTTGTCAGCGGAAACAACCCCGCAGTAGTAAGGGTTCAAGCAGACGCGGGTGTACATATAACACTCAAGAGGAACATATATACGTGTATACAGTATCAGGCGTATAATATTTTCAAATTTTTCCCAACAAACCGCGAGAATATTGTTACGATGATAAAAATTAATTGATTATCAAAAAAAAAAAAAACAAAATGTAAAAATATGGTTTGAAAATATGTTTGAGACGTTTTGAAATTGAATGTTCACCGAGTGCGAAAAAAGACGCTAAACAGCGGCTGAGAAATTTGGATATTGTAATCTTCTGGCCAAATATATATCAGTAAAATGAATGATGTGGCAATCCTGAAATTGGTTTTTAGCGACGCATGACCGATGTGATAAAACTATACAGAACAAGTTACGTAGTGAAGGATCACGTTTTTTCAGACCATAACTTTCAACGGAATATCGGATATCGGTCCCAAGTTTTTTTTAATTACATTACAGGATTCAATCATCTTTCGTATTAATTATTTCATCATTCTTCAATCTCCCCGTGAATTCATCGTTTAAGAGTCGCTTTTTCTGGTTTAATTTACATTTTTCTTATACCAAATTCAACATATTTATATACATTAAATATCTGACATCATTATAATACGAAAAATGTAAATATTGTCGACTATTTGATGTTTCTAAATACAATATACGAAAAAAATTATTTACAAGAGGTTAAATGCGTTTTATGGTATAATCATACTCGTTGATTGTGCGATATACACGTGTACGCTATAGACCGTGAATTCGAACACCTCCGATCGTAACTCAGAATAAATAAAGCAAGATGCTTCGCAAAGTGACTGAATAATTAAAGAATCATGTTTGGACATCAAAAGAAAGACATACTTCGGATTCGTTTTGAGTGTTCTCCGACTGAGTAAACGTATAAATATAATATCAGGTAGATTTCGGCACGAGGTTTTAAAATACGGGTACATTTTAAATGAAAAAATGTAATTAGAGTTCAAAGAAGAAAAAATAAAAATAAAAAAATGTACTGACGATTATACGGTCCAGTAAAAATTATTTATAAACGTGTGGTAATGCACTCGAAGTTGAAAATCATGGTAAATGATCGTTAGGTTTTAGCTTATGGATTCAATTTAGTGGGCAAACTTTCTCGGTCGAAAGTGGTGGTGAGTGATGGAGAGGGGAGTGGGCATAGGAAATAGTATAATATAAGTTATTTGCCTGTGGTGATGAAAATTTAAATTCCCTTCAACCCTTGCAGCTCAACTGTATAATTACGGTTCGTACACCGGATTTCGGCAAGGGGCACCCCCTTACATGACAAAAGAAAAAAAAAAACCACAGCGTGACCGAAATGCGTGCATGAGGCTCGCGTGTAATAATCCTTTTCACCAGCACATCATATTTTAAACGCCATTATGCAAAAGACAACCTCATTAAGAAATTCCCAAGTTATTTATTTGTTTAAATTTTTTACCGAGCACCAAGAGCCATTCCACGCAGCGATTAAGTTGGTGCAAAAAGTGACGTGCAATAGCTAAACGAAAACAATTAATGGTAAATAAATCGACTAACGTTGCCGTATTATTGTAAACATGGTCTTGATTGGCGGTTCTGGAGACATTTAATATTTATTCGATACCATTCAGTATATGATCGAATGATAATGATATTGACGTCCCGACATGGTTTCATAATAACTCTACTATATCGAATTATAGATATTATCATAATTATTGTGTTCTTGAAACATGTACGTTTATTTTTTAAAAATCTAAACGCCATGAAGACGAATAAAAGCGATGGTTCGCACGATCGCGGTCATATTAGTTTTATTTTTTGGGCCAAACTTTAAAAAATTAATTTGTTTTTCTCGCTTTGGCTACCGCTGTTGATATTCATATGAATTGTCACTATAAGATTTCAAGGAGCGAAAACAATTTCGATTCATGTTAACCATGATAACCAATTAATGATTGTATTTGATATTGAAATTGATTAGGATTGTTGAAAATAGAGAGAAAAAAACTTAAGGACAGGGTTATACTAAGCTTATTCGTACCCAGCGTTTAAACTGTACGGTCACCAAATTTGTTAATCATGTGCTATGAACATGATAAATAGCGAAATAATTACTACATTCTCTATCGTGTTAACGACAACAATCCAATAAAATAATACAGTATTATGTATTACATGAGTCTATTGTAAGTTAACGTGACTGAAATATTCTTAATATTTTTTAAATAATCAAGATTAGAAAAAAAATAAAAAACACGAAGAATGATACATTTTTTATAAAATACATTTTAAATAAAACTTTACAAATTAAATAAGTGGGAACCGAAACATTGATCAAATACTGAATTATATGTTTTTTCGTAGCTATGTGTAGTAGCTATATAATAGTGCTCGTTTGGAAAGCTTTCAGCTGATACGAACGTATATTATAAGCTTCAGAAATATTTGTAAAGTCCAGCAGACCTGAAGTTATCCATTTAGCAAGTGTCTTAAGACCCCAGAGGATTACGCAACAAATGTGATGAAATGGATTTTCATTCAAAGCAAAAAGTTAATGCTACATGCAGTGTATATCCGATATAAATGGACGAATGAGACACGCGTTCATGTATAGGATTTCAGTCCACGCGTACTTATTCGTGTAACCATTTTATTTGTGGAAAGTGGTTTTTAAGTTAAAAATTCGTCGAAAAGATTTATTGATTATTCGTCGTGCACAGGGGGGGGGTCCAATTAAAAGTCATCGAGTGAGAATCTTGTACATATCCCAAAATTGAATTAAATTTCTCTTTTTTTTCAACGTACAACATACGAATTAATCCGAATCGCTGGAGATTGATTAAATAAAAAGTTTCACAAAAACCACGTACCCGATACAGCGAAAGAGAATACGTGGCGTATAAAATATAAAAACTGGACGCGGTCGTTTTTAAAAGGAACGCCCATCAGCTACTGTAGCGTGATAATTTTACACGTATATAACGCGAGGTACTTGTACGTGAGTCATTAATTTTAGTTTTTCCGAATTCGATCGACAACCGTATTTACCGTTACATCTCTTGTGTATACATATATATGTTTCCGTGAATGGGGCGAATCGATTAAACGGATTTTCGAATTAATTACATCAACTGCATTATGTAATGTTACACGTTTTAAGTTAACAGCCGCCACCGCTGCCGCCATCGTAGGATTAAGTTATTTAGGTATTCGATAATAATTGTTTGGCGACGGCTTCAGCTGTGAATCCGTGTACACGATCTATTTTATGCAAGATATAAACAATGCTTTTTAATTGTGTTTGCGATCAATAATTCACTATTTATGTATACTCGTATAAATATATACATTCGTTTAAATACGTCAAATTTTGTGAAAATCCATGTGTTTTATATATATATATATGCCTAGACTCAAGCGCGTCAATACAATCTCGGGCCTCTCTCTCGCGCTCCCACTCCCTTTATCTATCTGGACAGTGATTCATTA